ACAATTGCCAGGACATCAAGAATTGATCCAATCCCATCCAATGTAATTTATTTTGTCCAAAACGGCTGGTTAGAATACAATGTGCCAGAAAAAATTTCATACCTTTCACCAGAAATTATATGGATTTTCTATACGCAACTGCTGTTTGCTGTAGAGAACAAGGGTAGTTATATAAGAAAAACTATGCAATGAAAGAATTGCATGACTGTCAAAATGAAAGGCCGATCCAGAGGAATCTCCGTTGGCCTAATTTTGACAAGGACATCGAAGAAGCTGCGAAGGCATGTGTGATGTGCTTCATCATCCAACCAGAGCCTGGTAGAGAGTACACATGGACTATGCAGGGCCCTTCCAGGGATTAATGCTCCTTGTAGCAGTTGATGTCCATTCAAAATGGGTAGAGCTAATTCCTACTTATAATGCTACAGAGACTACAAACGAGGATATCTTAATGACAATATTCACAAGATATGGTATCCCAGAACTATTAGTTTCAGATAATGCACCAACGTTCACATCTGATGGGTTTAAACGCTTCTTCACGTGTAACGGTATTATACACATAAAAAAATGCCCTATACCATCCTGCAACTAATGGATTAGCAGAACGAATGGTGCAATCTCTGAAACCAGGCATAAAATCAGCAAAGCATGAATGTGACACCATCCATATGAAGCTCTCTAAATTCCTAGTTTCTCATAGAAATTCACTCCACGCTACCACAGGGGAGTCACCAGCAATACTCGTGTTTAGTCCGAAACTACGAACAAAATTGGAAATGCTACGACCCAATATCAAGACCACTGTGTCAGCAAATCAGAGCAGATAGATTTCTTCGCACTCTCAGGCAAATTCACCATCACTAAAGCAGGGTGACACCGTCGTTCATCGTGATTACCATGGACACCAACTCTGGCAACATTCAAGGATCAACTCCCAACAAGGTCCAAGATCATATACAGTAAAAATCAGCTCCGGCAACCACTGGAAACGACATTCAGATTAAATGGTATCTACCTCTATACTAAGAGAAGATTTACTGCAACAACCCAGGCAAATCTATTGCCACCTGCAATACCAACCTTCCTTAGTGATCAAAACGACAGTAGTCAGGCCTCCATCACCAAAGTCAGTGCTTCCTCCTCATAACTCACTACCACTTGGTTGTGTGGAGTATGTTGGGGGTGAACCCCAACATACTCCACACAACCAATTACCACTAGGAGTGGAAAACTTAGCAAGAAACCGGAATGTTTTAAGGACTACATATAAAGCTGGAAAAATCATTTACATAATTTTCCCCCAAAAAGGGAGGATTGTAAGATGCGCACGTAAACAGGAAGTTTACGTCCCCTAGTATCATTTCTGTTTACCCCATATTATTCTCCTTTATCACTTCTGTAATAAAAATCCAACATGTCCATCGCGTATTTCTTGTTTATTAAATGCGATTGAATATATCCAGTTCATCCTCCCTCAATACATCACAACTATGATGATTTCAATCAACGTATTTCATTCTCATTATCCTTTCATTTTTTCACATTTTGATAATTCAGTTTATATTATGTGTACAAATTCTGTATTTTTGCCATTTTATCACTTTTTCTCCATTATCAATTCAAAATATAACGGACTGAAAGTCGTTTTTCACATCAGCAGCCAATTTAACCTTATAATAAGTCTGATCAGTTGATCAGACTTATCGAGACATAAGTAAATGGCTGTTTCATCAAAATAGATACAAAGTTGGAAGTTGATGGCATCGTGAAGGTCGTTAATGAAAATTAAAAACAAAGTACGACCAATGATAGCGTCCCGGTAGGACATCTGCATTAGTACAAAAGGATCTAGAAGAGTGGCCGTTCTTTTAACTTTCATTTCATGATTTGATAAGAAAGACCGGATCAGTTCAAAAATTTAGCCGGAGACACTGACCAAATTTTTCCTTTTAACCTGTGAAGAAGACCTGTATACCAAGCCTTGTCGAAAGCTTTCCAGGTGTACAAAGTAACATCTCGAGCTTCACCATTCTAATCTAGATCTTGATAGACTTTTTCCGCAATCATTGTCAATAATGAAAGCCAAATTGCTTGTCTGTGATGTGAGATGCTTAACCAATTCAGCATTGATTAGGGTCTCTTGTAGTTCGCCAAAAAGAAGTAGAAGGTTAAAGGCTAAGGCTCGATCATTGGAAAGGTCGGACGGTTTACTTAAGTTCTTAAAGATTGGAACAACAGATGAGGATTTGCAACAAGCAGGAAATCACGTGGCATATGTTATAGAATTTAGAGAGAACAAGAGCCAGTTCGGGGCACTCTTCTTAAGGACTATTAAAGGAATACCATCAGATCCACATACTTTGTGGGTATCCAGTTTAGAGATAATAGCAGAAATCATACATCATGCATACCACTCAGCAGAGAAACAGTTCTAAGTGGAAAATTAGGCAAGGATACTCCAGATGAGTCAAGAGTAGAATTTAAGGAGAATTTACGGGCGAAACATTCAGCGTTATCAACCGAAGATGTTAACGCCTCCAATTGATTGAAGGGAGGAGGAATAGAAAAATTACTCTTAATTAATACTTTATTACAGACCCTCCAGTAATCACAACAGTAAAGGTTGTTAGATGCAATACGTTGTATTATTCTCTTAGTAACTACTTCGATGACGCATTTATTAAATGCAGCCATGAATAGGAGTCTATTATAATGGGAACTGTCACGCTGGCATAGCCAGCAATAGTGGTTCTTGTGAGCTATAGTGGCAGAGCCTATTGGTGTGAATCATAAAGAAGATTGCGGTTTCTCCTAGTATTTCAGAGAAGGAATGAAAGCACATATGCCGGCTTCGAACCAAGAAGAAACCGCAGTGGCACAATTCTCAATATGTAAGTTAAAAGTATCGGGTGTCTTGAAGAAAGTCACGGTGTCCCAATCAGCATGCTAGTTACGGAAAAATGTCTTATGAATAGGAGATTCGTCTATATTTCTAATTACATCATTCGGACTGTTGTCCTCATCTCTATTGCCATATTCACGATGTTTCGGCCGTTGTACGCTTTGAAAGTTGGGATTTCGAAGCAAACTTTTTATTTAGCCCACGGTGGTAGATTGTTTTAATTCCACTTATTTTCTTAGATTTAGTTAATTCCCTTTAGTAATTCAGTAACTGTGGCTAAATATTGAATTCACAACTACTTGGGTCAAGTCACTTCTTAGATCACTCAACCAACGCTTTTATCTACTGAGCCATGTGTCTCCAGTGAGTGAATTTTTGGGACTTATAAACTTAATGTCTCATGACATTTTTTACTAGAGCTCATGTTACAATTTTTTGTTATTTTTATTTTTTCTCTAGCTCTCTCTATTACGGGTTTCCAGATTGTATTCATGTCTATGCTTGGCCAGCTTAGGGGATTTTTGTGGTTTAGCATATGCGCTGATTCCTTAAGTTTTCGTATGTTCTAGTGATGTTCTCTGTCTATTATTTCAACTTCATCCGATAGAAGGCGGTGATCACCCTTCTTCCTCCATATATGGTTATTCATGCCTGATTTTTTAAAAATTTCCCCTCGTGTTCTGCAGGAACACCGTAAAGCCTTAACACGAGGGGAAATTCATCTAAGAGGTGGACAGTTTCTCCTTTATATTTCTTGCCACTTACCAAGAGGACAGTGTTCCGAGGAGGTAAGGACGTGTTCTTACCTCTAGGAGAAGACGTAATTAAGTAAAGAAGCGTATTGTTAGATTTAGTAGGGAAACGAATATGAAAATCCACAATTTGAATAAGGGATTGCACATTTATGAATATTAACATCTCAAAATATATTGTTTTTCATTATCCTTTCATTTTTTAACATTCATGTTATTTAAAACTTTTGATGTGTCACATTACATTATGTATAGAAATTCTGTATTTTTATCATTTTATCACTTTTTTTTAAATACTTTCAAAAGATGTTGTTTTTCACTATCGTTTCATTTTTTTTCACACTTTGGTAATTTCGTATTGTATTTTGTGTAGAAATTCCATATTTTATCATTTTATCACCTTTTCCAATATTATCATTTCAAAAGATTTCATATTTTTACATTTTGGTATTTGCGCATTGAATTTTGTATAGAAATTCAGTATTTTTATCATTTTATTACTTTTTCGGTTACTATCATTTAAAAATATATTGTTTTTCATTATCCTATTATTTTTTCACATTTTGATTGTTTCCCATTATATGAGTAGAAATTGCGTATTTTTATCATTTTTCACTTTTTGGGCTATTATCATTTCAAAATATGTTTTTATATCATCCCTTCATTTTTTACATTTAGTTTATTATTTCCACGATCGGGGAAGAATGACTACCCAGTGAACGTGCTGAGCATACATAGAGAAATATTTCCCGATAACAATGATTGGTGACTCTTTACCTACACAGACAACAGAAAATGACAACTCGCAATGCCCGAATTTCATTATCACCAGATTCCCGTAAGCTGAAATCTGTCACATAAAGGATAATGAACAGACCGGTCCCTAGTCTTAGGTGCTAATCTTTTGTTGTAAGGATATTTTTTCTGGGTGGTCGAAACAACCTTTCTACTTAAACCAGATGTTCCCTGGGTAATTGTACAGAATAATTTAGATCGTTATTTTCGGTGAGCATCCGTTTTCTCTACAGATAACGTCTATTTTTTTCTATTTTCTCAGGACCCAAAAACTCGGACGATTAATGTATCGTCTTATTCTTATTGGTAGGAGGTCGGGTAGGGCTCGAAGTCTTGGTTTTACTCAATGTTATTGAATTTCGCCTAGTTAAATTTGGGTTCGATTCTCCTTGGAACTGTTCTTAATTTCTTTTTTATCATTTTAAAACAATTTTTAACGCATTCGGTTTTTAATTTCCCTCTCAACTATTCAACCCACTTTCGTGAGAATTTCAACAATTATCATACATTTAGTAGTCTCCCCAAATTACCATCCTGTAATTTAATGTATGTACCTCGCCAAATCTTCACGTTTGCGCCTATCTCTGTCCCGCCACCAACAACGGTTTGCCTCTATCTCGGCCACACAGTCTGCCCATTTGTGCCTATCTCTGTGCCACCATATCTGTGAGTTTGCATTTCTCACCCCTCCAACAATGACCATTTGTGTCTATCTGTACCCCCAATATCTGTGCGCCGCAAATACTGGCCGTTTGTGTCAATCCTCCTCCATCCAACTCTGTCCATTTGCATCTACTTTGCCCCGCTTGCTCTTGTCCGTTTGCGTCTATCTCTGCCAAACCAACTATTTCCTTTTGTGTCTAACTTTGCCCCGCCATCTCTGACCGTTTGCGTCTATCAATGAAACGTTAACGTTTGTGTCTCTCTCTGCTCAGCCAAATTTGTCCGTTTGCGTCTAACTTTGCCCCGCCTCCTCAAACCTTTTGTGTCGTTCTCTGCCCCGCCAATTCTTCATTGTTTGTTTGTAAACAAAATAAATTAACTATATTTTCTTTAGATTTCTGTTTTTGAATTTTGGTCTATGAAAATCTGTTTGATAATCATCAATTTTTTGTTTTGAAATAAAGAAAAATCAACTATATTTTGATCGCATTTAACTTTTTTAATTTGGAATATGAAAATCTGATTTCTTTTTACCAGGTTTCAATCTTGTTGAGAAATACAAAAATCAGCAATATTTTCTTTAAATTTTCTTTTTTATTTGGAAAATGTAAATCTGCTTTATATTTATCAGGTTTATTTACTTATTTAGAAATAATTCTAAATTAGGAAATTTACTTATTTAGAAATAATTCAGTTCTTAAAAAAATAAATAATTTATTCATTTATTATTTATTTATTTGCTAATTTTTGTTTAGGAATTAAAAAATCAGCTACATATTCTTTAGATTTCACACTTTTGAAATATGAAAATCTGCTTTATTTATTTATCACATTTTTATTTGTAAATACAAAAATCTGGTATATTTTCTTTAAATTTCTATATTTTTTATTTTGTAATATGAAAATCTATATTCATCGTATTTCTCATTGTTTCGAAATACAAGAAATGATGAATATGTAGCAGTTTTTCAAATCTAATTAAAATATAACTCATTTCTTTTATTTAAAAACAAACAATAAGAAATCTGATGAATATCAGGCAGATTTTCATATTCCAAAATTTAAAATGTGGAATTTAAAGAAAATATAGCTGATTTTTGTATTTCTATATGTTGTGATGTCGCGTTTGGCAAGACATACAAGACAAGATTGTAGTATTCAATACTCAGCTAGACAAGTCACTGCAATAGTATTACCATCACTCCTTTGATACTTACGCAGGACGACTTATCATGAATGGATCAGTCAATTCATGATAGTTTGGAGGGTAACTGACTCTTACTATAACATTTTCCCTTTTGAGCCTTACTTCCTACAGAAGTTATAATTTTTTCTTTTAGATTTGAGATCTAACACTTCTGGAGGTTGTTTCTTCCTTTTACTGGAGCGTGTGGTTTCCGGAACTATCTGGAGCATATGTACATCGAAAAACATAAGACAGAAGCACCATCCTCCTCTCAGATGCTCTGTTTTTAGGTTTTTCTTATTTGATTTAGATGTCTTTTATGCACCCACGCAAAACCTTTTATCATGTATAATATCATTCTGATACGTCTTTTGACTATCCCATCTTCCCAGTATTTCTTTCAATTTTTGTAAGTTCGAAAGAATACTTTTTCGCTGGATTTGAAGTATTTTAGGGTATCGGATTTTTTCTTGTATTTGACCTATTTTTTATTCGGCAGCAGTTTGTCAAACACCGATCTAATTTTTCTTCCGAACATTAGTTCTTCCAGGGACATACCTGATACCGTGTTAGGATTAGGTGTCACCTAAAAACTGTTGTAATAACATCCTTATTTTCACTTCTATTGTTTTTTTTTCAATGCCCTTTTTGAATTGATATGTCCCGGAAAGGGATATATTTGAACGAAGTAGCTAAGTGGTTTTGGCTACTATAACAAAGTAGAATATGAAAGCAGTAATCGACTGGTACGCGTCGAAGTCGCAGGTAAGAAGTGTAGATCAATGGCGTAGTCCAATGGGCGTCGTTATAGACATAGCTCTCAGACAAAGGCTCTTTGACTCTCCTACACGTCCATCGGCATTTATGACGGACACCAGCCAATCATATTCCAGTGAGGGGGAACATAGGTGTACGCATATTCCATTATATCATGAATATATCGACGAAGCGTTCTGCTGCTTGCCCATTCGATTTTGGATGATAGGGAGGAGTTTTGATATGTTGTATTACAAAGGTTTTGCAAAAACTTTCAAACTCTTTCGCAGTGAATTGCGTGGCGTTGTCCAAAACAATGGTATCTGGGATACCGTATCTAGCAAATAATTCATACAAGAAGTTTATTGTAATTGTAGATATTGAACTCTTGTATTTTAAAATTTCTAGCCGTTTGGAAAAACTGTCCACAATGATTAGGTAGTAGACACCATTTATCAGTCCCGTGAAATCAATGTGCAATTTTGACCATGTCTTTGGCGAAGGGCGGAATGTAACTGGCTGTGAATTTGCTATCATGGCACAACCTCTGCATGATTTTACTATCTATCTACGTATTTGTATTGGTCCAGTAGACATAGCTACGCATGAGGGATTTCATTCTAGAGATACCTGGATGACATGTATGAAACTTTTGCAATATCCTTTTCTGAAGAGATGCAGGCCTTAACACTCTTTCACCATACATTAAAACCTTATCGCTGATTGAGAAAATATTGTCACCGTCATTTTTCGATTTTATATTTCTTAGCGTTGTCTTTGCTGTTTCGAAAGCCCGCAAGGATTCTCTTTCTAGCGTAATTTGCTTATTCTTTCGCTCTATGAGGTTTGTCAGCGGGAACAGAATTGTCGAGCAGTCGGGGATGAACCTGCGGTAAAAATTTATCATACCGATAAATCGCCTGATTTGTTTTGTGGATGTAGGCGTAGGGAAATTTCTAATTGCGTCGATTTTCTCGTGTAAATTCACCTCAGATGTCCCGAAAGTGCATTTGTCGATGTTCAGCCGGAGTCCATAATGTGGTATCCTTCGGAAAACTTCGTTTAGGTGTTGCTTGTGAACGTTCACATTCGTGGTGGCTACTAGGATGTCGTCGATGTAGGCATATGCGTACGTTAGGCCGCGCAGTACCTTGTCCATGAAGCGTTGAAAAGATTGTGCTGCGTTCCTCAGGCCAAAGGACATTTTGACGTATTCGAAAAGACCAAAGAGAGTGTTTACAGCGGTCGTTAGGATGTCCTCCGGAGCTATGGGGATCTGATGGTAAGCCTTCGTTAGATCTATTTTCGAAAAAACACAAGTGCCCTGTAACTTTGAGGCGAAATCATGTAAATGCAGGACTGGATAGCGATCGGGTATGGTTGTGGCGTTCAATCTTCTGTAATCGACGCATACCCTAAATTCCGTACTTCCAGGTTTAGGCACAAGATGTAGAGGTGAGGCGTATGGGTTATCGGAGGGTCGTATGAATCCGTCCTTCAGCATATTGTTGAATTCCTTTTTGGCGTATTCAAGTTTATGAGGAGGGAGTCGTCGTGGGTGGGAAAACATTGGTCTTTATATGATGCTGCGTTTAGTGTTTTGCAGGATCGGTACCCGCGAGTGGTTGAATGATGTCTGGGTATCTATTCAAGGTCTCGACGTATTCTCGTCCGTGGCAAGTTGTTACACTGATTCCAGTGGTGTTGTGTCGAGAGAGGGTTCCTTTAACAAAAATGTTCGTGGTGTTGTCTGATAAGGTCCTCGTGTTCATGTGCACAGCTAAGGTCATAGTGGGCCAGGAAAGGCAAGGACAACAACGGCGAGGATTTCAAAATCTAAGTCAAATTTTATTTATCAATCTGGCGAAAGTATGTACAGGAATTGTTTGGAGTAGTTCAAACATATAGTCGGGGAGTGCCAATCGAAGGATCGTTTTGGTTCAGGGCGGCAGTTCAGAGGCAGGCAGATGGAACAGCTGTATTCGAGGTCCAGTCGAGTTATGAAGACCGCGTCGGTGTTCACGAAGAGAGACGATCGGCGTAGGCAGTGCTGAGGTAGCCTGATCGTCTTTAGGAGGACGGTCGCATAAGAATGTGACTTGGTAGTCCTTAAAAGGACTATCGCATAAAAATGTGGCTTGGTAGTCCTTAGAAGGACTATCGCATAAGAATGTGACTTGGGCTGCTGCTGCTGAGTTCGGCTTAAAGACTGGGAGAGGCTGGCTTCACTGGTGGCTTCTGCTGCTGCTGCTGCTGCTGCCAGGTTTGGCTTCTTCAGTGGTCAGCGACGAGGGTCGGCCAGGTGAAGGTGAGAGGGGGAGCACGTCGCTCTACCCCGGAACCATCGTTGCCTGGTTAACATCTTCTTTTGGTTGTCGACTAAAAATTACCCTCCCCGTTTGGGCACCATGTTTATATAAATTAGTTTCTGGTCATTATTTTTAGTTAGGAGGACTTGTGTATGTTTATGTTTCATTTTGTTTTGCTTTTTGTGTTACGATTTACGATGTGTTACAGGAGCAGCAGCAACAACAACAACAACAGAAACCCCAGCAACAACAACAGAAATCTCCAAAGCCTGTAACCAAACAGCAAAACCACAAGGAAGAAAAAGATAAAAAAAAGCAGCAGCAGCAACCGGAAGAGGAGATGGAGGTGGAGAAAATGCCCCCCCTCACTCTTCTTCTTTGAAAAGAAGTAGAGAAGAGGAGGACGACGCTGAAAAACCAGTAGAGAAGCGTGTTGGACGAAGCAGGGCAGAAAAACGTCTGCCAAAATACAGGTCGTTGTCTGTACCGGTCACGCCAGGACAAGCTAGACAAGAACTGGCAAAAGCCAGGAGCCTCCCCACTTCACCCACTCGAGCTCCGTCTCCCTCTCCCTCCACCTCCCCTAATAGTTCACTCTTCCGCTTCTTCCCCTCCCCACCGTGTCAGGTAAAAGAAAAAGAAAAAAAAAGAATTTTCCCTGACGCAGAGAACATTCGCAGAGTTGATATAGAGCAAATTAAAAAAGGCTTGTCAAGCCATAAAAAATCGTTACTCGGCTTGCTGATGAAAAAGTCGTCTGTAGATGGGAAATCCATTGAGGACATCAAGAACTTTCCAGATGCTCCTGGGGTAGTCACCTGTGTAAGGGACACAGATGGCTACCTAAAAGTTTGGGCGCACCTGGCGGAAGCGCAGGAAGCATTCCCCAAAATTAAGATCACTATTTGAGGAAATTAAGGCAATATTGTTCTGGGAGGGTCCCCGTCTTACTCCATCCCTCCTTATATAGGTGTGTAAAATTAACCTATCCCACAGACGTCGGCGGGATCGTCTTTGAAAGACAAATGACGTCAGAGCTAGGTGTGGGGAGCCTAGGGCATTCTGTCGGGGTCCTAACTGATGCAGATTTCCGGCCTGTATGTGAGTAGGTCTTTTCTTTTCTCTCTTTTTCTTTTTTTCAGACATAGAAGATGTCAATTAAAATAGCCACATTGAATGTGAAGGGCTTGAGGGATCGGAGTAAGGCGGTCCGCCTGCTCCCTGATTTCTAGTCTTTCGGCGTCGATGTCGTCGCGATCGAAGAGATCCACTTTGCAGCGTCGATGCGTGTGTGCTTGAGGACGACTTTGTCGTTTATTCAGCATATGGGGACCGACATGCCAGAGAAGTTTCTTTGCTGGTGAAGCGAACTCTTGATGCGAAGGTGGACTTTGTGCAATACCGATAGGGCCGGTTGATCGTGGCCGATATTGCCTTGAGTCGTTGCGGTTTATTCGCCCAACGACCGGGAAGAGCGGGTCTCGTTTTTTCGGCAGTTGGGGCGGTTCCTGGGGGATTCAACGTGCCTAGTTTTAATGGGGGGCTAGTATGCCATCCTGGACCCCAAGTTAGACAGGGTGCGGGGAGCTAGCGAGAGAAGGGGCGATCCTAGCCTGGTTGAACTGATCGAAGAGTTTGGTCTCGTTGATAGATACCGGGTCGATCACCCCGGGGGAAAAATGTGGACATGGGCTCAGAATTGGCCTTTTACCTGGGTAGTTAGCTACCTGGATAGAATGTTAGTTAGAGGAGCCGAGGTAGACTTGTTAGATTGACCCACGTTCCACTGGGTAGGCTATTCCGATCACAGACTCGTTTGTGCCTGGATGCCGTTAGATTGTAGGCCTAGAATGGCTGGTTACTGGAAGTTCAATCTGTCTTTATTGGACAGGCGGGACTTCCAGAAGAAGCTAACTCGCTTAGTGCCGCGGGAGCTAGTGGGTCGGTTATCGGGAATAAGTAGTGGGAGAGTCTTAAGAGTAGGATTAGTTCGTTCACCACTGATTTCAGCAAACGGTCCGATCAGCACATTCGTGAGGTCAAATCCCCGGATGACACACTCTTCGGGACACTGACGACACGTGCGAGGCGTTTCGGCGGCATTTCGAGAGCCATTTTACCAAGGAGCCTGGTCTTCGTGAGGACGAATTTCGTAGCTATTCGGCTCACTTTCCTCGACTTTCGTCGACTGAAGCGGCTAGCTGCGAGGGAGAGATTACGGACGGCGAAGTCTACGCGGCAAGTCGCCTGGTCTGGATGGTTTGCTCTATGAATTGTACTTGAGGCTGTCGCACATCTTTGTCCCGATTTTGACTGTTGTGTTCAACAACTGGTTTCGGCTGAGGACCACCTCCGACCGGCTCACCAGGGGTGTGATCACGCTGTTGAAAAAGGTAAGGGTGTTGGGTGCACTTAGACGATTACAGACCCATAACTCTGCTAAACACAGAGTTAAAGATTTTGGCCAAGATCCTGCAGGAGCATTTACTCTCAGTTGCTCTCAGGCGCTTTTGCGCTGTCTAGGTGGGTTCGTCAGGGTTGTCCACTCTCGCCCCTACTTTATGCTTTGGCGTTGGAGCCTCTCCTTCACCGGCTGAGGGATAGGGCGTGCAGACCGGCCCTACGTGGAATCGCCGTTCCTGGAGGAGCTCTAGCCAGGGATTCCGCGTACGCTGATGACGTATCTGCTTTCGTATCGTCTCGCAGCGACATTGAGGCGGTACTGAATGCGTTTGATCGGTACGAGAAGGCGACAGGGGCCAAGATAAACCGCGAAAAGTCGTCCGGCTTACGGTTAGATGCCTGGAAGGGTGTCGATCTTCCTGGGCCCTTCAGTTGGACGGACGGTCCTGTCCGCATTCTTGTAGGTTGTCCGTGAAGAGCAGGGCGGAGCCGTGTGCTACATACGTTTTCCCGATTGTCCTTTATCAATTGTCCGTACTTCCTCTCTGTAAGGACCATAGGAAGCCGCTCGGGTGCTCGCTATCCTCCATTTTATGGAGGGGACACAAGCATAAGGTCGACAGAGAAGTCTGTGCACAATGTCCGTATCATGCGGGGCTGGGAATGCCACACGTGGTGAGCCACAAACTCGCCTGGAGGTTGGCTTTCCTACACCGCACATTGACAGAAGATTCGATTATGGCGGGGATTGTTAGGGACGCTTTCCTTTTCCTTACTATCAGTCACCTCATCTCGCGGGTTGAGCGCCGTCATAAACCCTGGGATCAATCGGATTTCCTTCGCGAGTGTCGGTACGCTTTGACGATCATTCCTCGGTCCAGTGACCTTTCACAGTCTAGGAAGTTCTTCTATCGTTTTTTAGTGGACAGGGTCGCGGCGGGTTATCTCAGTAATGTTGAGTTTTCGCTTACCTGGCGATTGGCTCGGAATCGGCTGCCTCTCAATGACAAGGCCTTCATATGACCTTGGTTCGCACGCCTTCTACCATTGTCGTCGGGTCCGCTCATTCTCGTTGATCGCGCATACGCGTATGACAATGTCTTGCTCCCGTATCCTGGGGTGAAACGAATGGTGTTTCTCACGCTGCTGGCCAAGACTCGAATTGTGATTTGGACGACGC